AAAGTTCAGTACACCATTAATGCTAATTTGTTAGCCTTTCCTAACATAGAAAATCAAAAAGATAAGTAGCTAGAATATAAGAAGGAAGCCTCTGTGTTCCTTTTAATATAATTTAGAACTAGTTTGCTGGCAGAAGGAAAGAAGAGCATCACACAAATAAAAGTAGGGGACAGAAAAGTTTGTTAAAGGGTAGTTACTGAATATGCCTGTTAGTGGTTTCAGTAAAGCAGATATCAAGCAATTGTGCGTAGTGATATATAGCTTTGAGATAGGGCAAGCATGACAGTTACATTAAGAATGCAAAAGAATTTAGCTGGCAAAGTAATAGGAGATTGAGGCTAAAATGAGCAGGAACAAGTAGAAATTGAGGATGAAGGATGTTACAGAAGGAGGATATAAAAGAGCTTCCCCTCCCACATGAAAGCTTTTATTTCCACACCCATTTTTGTGAACTCTCTACTACATTTCTACTTCCTTTTCAATCAAGGAAATAGCCATAAATAGCATTTTCCCTTTCTTTACCTAATGCTTAGGTCACTTTCCCTATATAATGCTTAACTTCTTGGTAGTTAAACTTGGCTATTTCTCCTCTCAACATTCGATCTGTCCTAGCCCCCTCCAGGCTGCTGCTTGTGCATATCTTACAGTCGTGYCCTGGGCTTTCCATCACCAGCACCTGCTCCAGTTACATCCGCCTAAGAGAAAAAACAACATCTGGGCAACGTCCCAAACAAAAGCTGCCAGCAGCAAGAGCCTCTGCTGCTGAAAACGTCAAACACCAACACAATGCCAGTGCAAACTGGAGAAATTTAGCAGACCACGCGTTACCTGRATGACAGGCATGGTACTATATTGAGTGTTTTTTTAATATTTATATATATTTTTAACTTTTTTATATTTTATGTGTCTTGGAAAAGTCAGAATGATGCAAGAAAGATATTAAGACAAWTTCTTGTACAAGACACAAGTTGTAAAACTTTTGCTTCATTAATAAGTTAGAGYGGTTAAAGGTACTCATGGCACATTGCAGTTGGAATAGAAGGTTCTGTTCAACTCTTTCCTATTTTCCTTTCCAGTAGCTTTTTAAATCAAGTTCTTATGCAATAATGATGCTATCTTCCAGCAAGGATAAAAAGGTTGATCTACCTCCTTTACCTAAGTTAAAAGGGAGCCAAACACTTGTTTCACTAGTAAATGTATCATATCCTTCCTATCAGTATTTCTTTGTAAAACAAACTACTCAAAACCCACAAATTTGTCACTTTCTGTTGCTGATTTCATATGACCATAGAAAGATACCAAGAAACTTTTAAGTACCTTAAAACTGACACGAAATTTGAAGATAAATAGCAAGTGCCTTCACATGTTTTTACTACTGCCTATTTATTAGCTTTAGGACTATATCAGCTTTATAATAAATCAATGACAAAAGTTTAGTTTGARATTAAAAATAAATACAAGTTACCATGCTCTAGATAACTCACAAAGCAGATGCTCCAGGACCACTGCTACATGATACAGTGCTGTTATATAATGTTTTTACTTCTGTTCCTGGACAGGAGAATAACTTAGTGTTATCAGGCAGTTTAAGTAGAAGGAAGAAGAAAGCCTCCTAGAGTTAGAAATTYATGCACAGCTGATTTATTTATGTATTTATTTATTTTAAGGCTGATTGGTTTCAGGTGGTTTGTTTTTTTTTTTAAACAGCGTGATTGGCAGGAGGGAGGAGCCACTTCTGGAACTGCCCATAAGAGCAGTGGCAGGACAGGTGGGAGTGATGGTGCTGCCCAAGCTCTCAGTGTGGGGTGCTGTTCTGGGTGCTGAGTTCTCTGYTCCGAAGAGGCTGTTCTTGGCTCTTGTGCTTTGCTGTAGACATCAGAGTGTGTGTCTATAGAGCGTGTGCCCTTCTAGAGGGGCATTATTGGAGACTGGTATTGAGGCCTGTGGGTCTAAATGGCTCYCTGCTGTGTCTGAGGTTTGCTCTGCCTTAGGAAGATTTTGTGGTAAGTGCCTGAACCTTAGGCTGGCATCATATGCTCACCAGCACATATGGAATAGACCTATGGTTATTAAATCAGCCACCAGATAGCCCTGTGTTGTATGCTGCTGTGGCCTGTGTGTTTTCTGTGCTTTAAGTCTTACACCTGTGTTGGCTTGTAATTAGTCAGCTGGGAAACTGCTGTGCCTGGAGCTCTGCTGTGAAGAAAGGAGTAACATTTCCAGTCTCCACATGTTTTCCTCCAAGCAAATTCAACAAAGTCTTTCTAGGTAGAGGCACTATCTGATGGTCCAGCCTCAGGTAGGAACCAAGCAGGGCCCTGAGACTTCACCTTAGAAATTAATTAGATACTCAGGAAAGATTGGAGACAATCTGGCAGCAGCTTTACCTCTGTCCRTCCCCCTCTTTTTTTCTGTTTGCTGTAAACTCATCAGTGGAGGGCCTGTCTCTTGCAGGGTGTAGTGCTGGCCTGGTGATGCTCTGCCCTTGGGCTGCAGGTAAATAATTACCGCAGAAAGCTGTGAGGGCAGTTTAAGGTACTGCAATTTATCTGTGGTCCATGAGGCCATGTGTGGCCTTTGGGGCAAAAAAATAAGGCTTGGCACAGGCTGCTGCCTGTTCCTCTCTGTAAAACTCATGTGGCGAGCTCATACAGTCTGTCCTGACTCTTTAATTTTCTGGTGCTGAACACTGTGGAATATTAACTGTGACTTTCCATGTTTCTGAGAAGTTTGGAAATCAGAGGAAACTGATATTTACTGTCCTCCAAGGAAAGGTAAAGTAGACTTTAAAGTGTACAGCCTAGGATTTTAGGAAGAGCTGGTTCAACGTTACTTCTGCTGAAGAATTTCCTGTGACGAGTCACTCTGCTTTCCTCTGTCAATTTTCTGTACTGCAAAGTGGAAATAACRATCTCTAAATGTAGTATTTAGCACAGGTGGAAGGTGCAATTACTGCCAACACAGACTTCAGCTTGAAAGGTAGAAGTTGTTCTAGTCAAGATCTTAATTCTGAAGCTGACCAATGTGTGCACTYTTAGGGAAGTGGCACTGAAAATTTCTAGAGGGGAAAGAAAAGTTACTTCATCTGTGTCATTTAAAGGGTACTGTTAATGCAGCATATTCTGCATGGCAGAAAAGGCATGGCAGCCTTTTCAGGTGATGAAATACCCAACTGAGGTGGAAGACATGGCCAGAGAAGCCATTTGTTGAAGATACAAACAGCRCTGTCGGTAATTTCCTAGTTATGGTAAAAGATAGAAGATGGTATGATTTGCAAAGTCATGAAAATCAGCTTTCTTTTGCTTGAAAAGAGGGAAAACAGTCTGTCTTTGCCCACCTTTGTAAGCCCACAGTTGAAGAGGGGGGAACAACGTGCCCTGGTGCCTTGCTGTGCTGATAGTCTTGCCCAGAAGTATTTTGCCTTCTGTTATGGTCCCYTAAATGGATGCCAGGGAAGGCAGCCGTTCGCCTCAGCGGCGCCTGCCCTGCACGTGTCCAGCCGGGCGCTGTCCCCCTGCAGCRTGGTGGAGCACAGCGCCCTGCCCCGGGACGTCCCGGCTACCCTGCGCCGTGGCTGCTTCCCACTCCCATGCTCCGCTGCAGCTCCGCACTCRCAGTTGCCTTCCCCGCGTTGGGAGCAATTCGTTCCAGCACCTTGCAGAGACGCAAGGAGACGAGGAGGCGGCGGTGCGGAAGGCGTTTGGGAATGCGTGGCCGCCTGCACGTGGGCCGTGATTCATCCGAACCCGGTGGCGGGGACGTTCCTGAAGCTCGTAGGGTCCTGCCTCGCGCGTCCTGCCTTCCTCGCTCGCTGTCCAGGCCCTCGTCCCTGGCYGTGGGCATTGGCACCTTGACGCCGCTCAGCCTGGTGGCGTCTTGGGTGAACCCTGCGGACTGATGCGGTGCTGAACAGCCGCCCTCTGCGGTCAAAAGTAAATTGTGAGCTGTGTGAGAACATGACTCTGTTAAAACCAACAAGTGTTCGGAACAAATGAAGAATACTTGGTTCTTAATGGTTTAGCATTCTGGGGTAAATTTGCATGTTTGGTCTGTTGGAATCATGTAGCTCTGCTTTTTTTTGGATGTATTTTATGGTTTGTTACACACTAAGGTAATTAAAGTGTATAATTCAGTAATAATCTCAAATTACTTTGACTGAACACAAGGGAATCTAATATAACCATAAAGAGTTTTATGTGATGTTTATTTAGCTGTCCTTCTAAGCCGCTTCTGAAGCGCTCTGGGGTAAGGGCCCTCTCCAGAGGTGTGCACTGTGCGTGTTGTGCAGGGGCGCTGTGGGGACGGGGCGGCCTCGCCTCGAGCTGGGGTGAAGGCCTCTCTCCTGCTGCCCCAGCGCGGGGTTGCTGCTGTGCCCCCGGGGGGRCGAGCCGCCCTCCTCCTCGGGCTGAGCGGCTGCACCTCCTTCCATCGGTGTCCTGTCTCCAGAGTTACGGGCTGCTGCGCACCAACCCGTGGCAGGCGGGGGGGTTATCTCCTTGCTCTGCGCCCCGCTAATTACCGTCTCGGCCCTTGCTGCCGTTCCTCGCTGCAGGGCGCGCGCGGGGCCGCAGGTGCGCGGGGCGGCCCCTCCCCGCGGGGCGCCCCCACCCGCCGGACTCTTTGTCGCGCCCCGCGGAGGGACACGGCGCGGGCGGTCGCCATGGCAGTGGGCTGCGTGGGCGGAGTGGTCGGGGCCGCGGCGCGCGCACGAGAGGGAGGGAGGGAGGGAGCGGCGCAGCCCTCCCCTCTGCTCCCGTCCCCTCCCCGCGCGGCGGCGGCG